ACTGAGGAAATGAGGCAGCCTCTGTGTGCTCTCATATATTCTATTTTCCTTTGAAATGAAAGTGGAAATATGTTTTTCATGATTTTCCCTCAATTTGTTCCTGTTATCCTCCTGTTTAAAGTACTTCAGATTTCACTGGACTTCCAAGTACAAGCTTCTCCCTTCTGGCCTGGTGAATTCCTTATTAGGAATGCTTCGTGGTAGATTTCCCACACTGGGTATTGCTGTCTCCTCACTCAGATAAGATGGATGTGTTGTTTTTGCAGGCTACGCCCAATCGTCTCTCAAACTCTGATGCTTTTCATCTGGATGTGTGAATCCTGGTCTTATTTGGCAAACCCTTGGGTGGATGAGAGTTCACATATGATTTCTGTGGTTCAAGAAGCACCAACTTGAAACCTGTTTCTTGGCCTTGAAAAAACTAACTGGTTGCAGGCCAGTCAGCCGTTCCAGTGATTTAATACTCTTAGTGTACTATAGCCCAGCTTAAGCTGAAAGCCAAAAAGTATGAGGTTGTATTCTTTTAAATAAAATCCATTGTGCAGTAAAAAGATGTTGAGAAGAAAAAGAAATGAGTGGATGATGCCCAGTAGGATGTAGAACAGAGAGGAGTCCAGCAGCCTTTGAGAGCCAGCGTTGTAGAATGGAGCCTGTCCCTAAATGTGACTCTAGGGCCTACATATGGAAACAGGGAGATAGGTGCTCCTGGCTGGTGATATAGGTACACCATTCGTAGCAAGAAAGTATTACTAAAGACTGAAGAACAGAGACAAGTTAAAAAACCTGATGACTAGAATAAAATTCTAACTTTCATTTAATCTGTTTTAATTCCCATTTGCTGACTTTGGCTGTGCTGGGGGTTTTGATTTTACCATTATAGTTCAGCTGTACCTCTGTTTGACCTTAGAAAATTTACTCAATCTCCCAGAAGCAATTAACTGAATTAGTAAAGGTGAAGCACTTAGCAGTGTCTCATACATTTTCTCTGTTAAGGAAATATTTCTTCATATTCCTAGTCACAATCATATTTTATGTTGAAATAAAGGTTACAAAATGTTACAAATATTTTATCCGTATTTACTAATGTGGTAAAACTTTGCTTATCGATATTATTTGTCTTTAAAGGGACTTTTACCAAATAGTCCATGTTGTAATCGGAAGCCTAAGTTGATATAAATTTACTTATACTTTTCTTCTTTAGGAACATATCACAAACTTTTTAAAAATACAAAACCTAAGCACTAACAAATATTTGCTAATAAGGAAATAGGTCACTAGGTTCTGTTATTTAGCAAAATATACATGTGTTGCAAAAAAAAAAAAGTATAAATCTGCCATAATACATTTTACCATACAGTTTTTAAATATTCTGTCTGGAACTTTTTATCTTTGCTAGGGTAGAAATTTTACATTTATATGCCTTTTTTAGACTCTACATACATTATAAACATGGGGAAAAGAAAATAAGATTATTGAGGGCTTTACTAGGTAAATAAGTATTATTTCATGATTTTTCAATGATAACTAAATCTATATTATGTCAAAGAGTCATCAACTTGAAACTTTTACAACTCTTGGCATAGTGACATTTTGAAACTAAAATTAGTGTTTGGGTTTGTTTTTTGTTTTTTTTTTAATTCCATAAATGCCATGGGAATTTTATCATGTTTCAACAGTTGTTGAATATGTAATTCCCATAGTGCCCATTAGTGGCCATCTGTGTAAGGTAATACATGTTTGAGGTGAAATTGATTACGGCCTAAACACTCTTGTGTTATGATCAGGAAAAGCATGCAAAGTTCAAATCTTTTTTTCTAATGTCATACGTAGCTAAAGATATTAATTTCCAGAGGTAGAACAGCCTATCACTCAAGATGCTAATCTCACAATAAATGACACCAGACCCAAAGGAAAAGAGACTGCAGAGACTTCCACTAAAATGAGTGAGCTCTTAAGGTAAAGGGAAAGTTAACAGGCTTTGGAACACAGTGTTTCCTTTATAGGCATCAAAGTGGACCCATTACAGTTTTGCTGAATATTCAGAAATATTTCATTATTTTTTTTTTAGAAATTCCTGATATCATAGCCAACAACACACTCCAAGTTAACCTTCCTTGTAACTTTATTATTTTTGCCTGGTTCAAAAAAAAAATTTTTTTTCACCTGTGCAAAACCAGGTGCTTTCCTTCTTTAAAATATTTTCAGTGGGATCTCCCCAGTGCAGTTGTTTTATTTTTATTAGATTTGTGCATGGTAATACATACCTGTGTACTTGCTGAACTCATTTATCCCCTTAGAATAAAGCTAGGAAATATACAAATATACTTGTTTATATATTTCTAATGAATGCATTCACATCTTGGCTCGCACATTATCTACCCCGGAGTTTTATGAAACATTATAAAAAATAATTTTTTATTTTAGAAAATTTTGAGAGCTGGTATTACTGAACTATTCCCATGATCATTTTAAAATCTTATCATGCCTTCCGTAGAATATTTAGCATTTGAACACAGCTACATCCTGATCTTTGCTGGGATGTGGGCCAGAATGATTTAGCTGCAAATGCCCTAAAAGTAGCTGAAAGAACTGATAGAACTATTGTCTTGTTTAAACGTTGAAATACAACAATTATGATGTTGGCATAGTTGATGCTGAACTATTCTTCCTTTTCAGTCTTGAACATCTTGATGATAATTATTCATCAGATTATGATAGATTTCAAATCTGCTTCTCATTAAAGATAATAAAATAATACTGTCCCTTTAAAGAAGGAAATTTGCCTTCCCAACTTATATTTTGTATATTAAGAAGTCATGCAAGTTCTTCTAATAGCTGTATAAGTTATTTGGAATATGTTGAAAAGAAAATGGTCTAGAGTGCAACAATACTTAATAAAATTTGGATTTGGGATTTTTCCTTTTTTTTTTTTTGGTCATTCACTCATTCAGCAAACGTACTAATGTAAAGATGAACAAGACATGGTCCCTACTCAAACTTGAACAAAACTACCAGAGTCGTACATTTAAACAGCTAATCTTAATATGACAAATTAATATGTGTAAAGAAGAACAAGAGCAAAGTTCTATCAGAGCACAGCAGAGGGTAAAACTTGTTTTAATATGTAAAGGAAAGCTTCAAAGAAGCAGTAAGTATTGAGTTTGGCCTTACAAGATGAGGCAGGTTTCTTGAGGCAAGGCAGTAGGAGATCTGTGTGTATCTGTACGCATACTCACACACATATGCATGCATGGACATACAAATACTAATGCATATATATGCTCACCTGTATTTAAGCATGTACCAAAGACTGCCAGCTGGCTAATATAACATCATTCCCAACCCACTCTGCCTGTCACTGCCACTGTGAAGGCTGGAAAAGCGAAATAATAATAATTAGTGTTGGTCATGTAACACAGTCTGGTCAGTTGGTCATATTTGGAAATATGCTGAGGACTTTTAGAAACATTTTTGCTTTTCAAATAAGAGATACAGTTGGTATTACTCCCTTCTTTGTGGCTGTTATAATTCTAGCTGTGACAGCTGCCTTGAGACATTGAGAGAAATCTGGAGAATGAGTTAAGATATGGTTGTACCACAAATCTGATACCCACAACTACCTACTTCAATGCTCCTTATAAAAGGAAAACTAAATCTTTACTTAAGCCATTGTATGTCAGAATTTTTCTATTTGTAGCCCGAATCATTCCTAATTATTGTAAACTACACAAACACACCCATTCATTTATATATATATACACATACATATATATATATATACACACACATACATACATATATATATATATACTCAATTGAATATATATATATATTCAATTTTATTTTCCATGCCTACCAAGACTTGGGACTAATTTTAGACTTCCATTTTGGTGATAAGTAAACAGAACTTAACGTTAGGGGAAAATAGGAGATGGAATGCTTTCTTTGTTATTACCAACCCAGCCACTATCCTTAGCACTTAGTTTCCCTTGTACCTATTCTTTCCTTGTATTATATTTTAAATAAGAAATGAAGGCAGAAAGGGAAATAAAGGTTGAGAAGAAAGATAAATGCTGAAATGGATCGTGCTGGAGGTTAGAACATGGGGAAAATGGGATAAGACTGAGCATTGGTTGTGACTTGCAGAACCCTTCGGAAGGATGCCCAGCTAGTGACAATGCCCGCTCACATGATGGAAAGAAAAGTTTAAATCTTAGTCCATCACTGTGCATTTCTATGATTTAAGACCAAGAACACTATTACCTGTGTCCACCTGGCAAGCCAGATTTCTCTAACGGTCTAGTTTGTTCTCTTTTTTCCTCTATTTAGGAAGATGAGAATAGAAACCATTCTTCTTTGTGAGAGATTAGAACAGCTTTCCATAGAGCATATTGCTTCTTTTCAATCTCGTCTAAAAGATACCATCTAACAAGCAAGAGATCTTTAATGCACTCTGACCTTCTACTATGCAAATGTGAAACAATTTGAAAAACACTCAACCCATTCTTTTTTTACAGAAACTAATGCTATCACTTTGTTTATTGATCTCTTCTTCATCATTTCTAATTGTATCATGTGTATACATTTCCTGACACTGCATCAAATTACAATTTAATAGTATCAGCATATATCCTTATTCTTTTTCAAGCTTGTCAGCAAAATGGCTTCTTGTTTTATGTTTTGTTTTTAGTAGCTACCTGTTAATTTTAAACGGACTTTTGATTCCCCACCCCCTTCTATATCGTTGTTGTTTTTAGAAAGTTTCTTAACTTAGAGAGAAGTAAGGTAAGATAAGTAGCCTCAGTCTCATGCAAAAAGTACTGGATGAAAGTTAAGAGTGCTTAAGAAAGAAAACACCACGAAATAGTTGGAATTTACACCACAGTCCATGAATTATCATTAATCTTTGTTTTAAAAGCATATATACAGTTCAATTTTTTTGTTCTTAAAGAATCTAAACTGGTTTTCTTCTTAAAATGTTTGCCACGTATTTCCCCTAGAATCTTCAGCTACTTGGAGCTACAGCCATTGAGGATAAGTTACAAGATCAAGTGCCTGAAACCATAGAAACTCTAATGAAAGCAGACATCAAAATCTGGATCCTTACAGGGGACAAGCAAGAAACTGCCATTAACATTGGTAATTCACCTCATTCAAACTTAAATTGTGATACTTTTTAACAGGTCAATAGATTTTATAAGATAAATTTAAAATATATCAAGATTTGAAAGATTTGGTATTTTAAATTTTCCATATTTATATTATTGGATTTAATTATCTACTTAGGCCACAGTGCCCCTTTAAAATTGCAGTGGTTATATACACAGCCAAACTTTAGCTCTTGCAACCACTTAATACCCTCTCTTGCTATTGTATCCCTGCTGACCCCCACATACCATCTACAACTGGAACGTATAGATAACATTTCTGCAGTTGTCTATGAAAGTCTGGAGATTAGGATTATGGCAGGCTATGTATTAACACTTGTTTATGTGCCCAATGGTTATTTCTGAGATAGAAAGTAAGAAGGTCGCCAGTTTCCATTTATCCTACAGTTCCAATTTTTTGAAAAAGGTTATATGAGCTCAGACTGCCATAACAGAATACCACAGACTGGTTAACTTAAACAACAGAAATATATTTTCTCATAGTTCTGAGAAGTCCAAGATCAAAGTGTCAGCAGGTTTGATTTCTCCTGAGGCCTCTCAGATTTCTGTCTTGCAAATGGCCACCTTCTCACTGTGTCCTCACGTGGTCTTTCTTCTGTGGATGTGCATTCTTCTTATCTCTTCTTCCTCCTATAATGACACCAGTCCTATTAGACCTCACTTAACTTTAACTTCTTAAGGCCCTACCTCAAAATGCAGTCATACTGTGGGTTAAGGCTTAAACATGTGCATAACAGGAGTCTTACTGAGAAGAAAGTTGATATTGGTGTTAGAGGCCTATAGTCCCAATAATATGAAAGATGTCACTCCTTTTTTTCCAAATTCAGTAATAGTAGGTTTCCTGAGCACTGTAAACCCTGACATAGACTTAACCTCTAGACATTAATGATATGAATCACATACAGAACTATCCCAAAGTTAAACCATTTCAGAGTTGTTCATGATATAAAACTGTATTTTTAGAAAGTCATTAAGTATCATCTGTCTAAACAAATATAGCTAATTTTTTAGCAGTATTAGTAATCACAGTATTCTGTATATATAAAACTACTACAAATTTATAGTAAATTAATGTTAACAGAGGAAATTTAAAAAAAATACTAGCTAGAAGTTTATAAGCCATACAAGTTGTTAATTTTGATTATATGTATTATCACTGGTGTTGGAGACAAATGGAAAGATGTGCAAAAATATAGAATGCATTATAATTGGTAGACCTAAAAAACAATATGATAAAACGTGACTACAAATAGAATACGAATATATGGTGGTATGTGAGGAAAATAAGAAATCCTGAAAAATAGCTTAGGGTATATAGCCATTATGGAAGGTCTTACAAAAAGAAGGGTACGGTGGTGGTTTCAGGTCACATTTAACTTTTAGAATCTTGTTCTTAGAAAAAGATAGATAAGATTCATTCATTCATCTAATGATGATAGTGCTGATGGTGCCAGGCAGTAGTGGAGTTAAGACTGGGGAGCAAAACCAAAATCTCTGTACTCCTGGCCCTCAGATCCTAGTCAGGGAACAGACAATAAAGTAAATGAGAAAAACACATAGTATATTAGATGCAATAATCACTATAAAGAAAAATAAAGCAGGAAAGAGAGAGAGGGCATTGCACAGAGGGATCATTGAGAAGATAACATTTGAGCAAAGACTTAAGAGAAAGGGAGTTTGTCACTTGGATGATTAAGGGAAGCTGTCTTCTGGAGGAAAAAAGCAGAAATGCAAAAAGGGAGAGTAAGAGAAGAGGTCAGCAGCGTAACAGAGTCCAGATTGGTCGGGGCCTCTTAGGTCATTGTCCAGAGTTTGCGTTTACTCTGAGATAGGAATTCATTGGACAGTTCTGAGCAGAGGAAACAATCAGTTTGGCTTCCAGACTGAGAATGGACTCAAAGGGAAGCAAGTATGGAAACAGAGAGACCAATGGAGAGGCTGTTAAATTAATCAAGGTGAGACATGACGGTGGCTTGGACCCAGGTGGCAATAGTGGAGGTGGTAAGAAATGGTTGTGGTCTGGATATATGTTAGAAGTAGAAACAACAGGATGAATTGATAGATAAGCTATTGAGTGAGAGAGAAAAGGAGGAATCGGGGGTAACTCCAAGGATTTTTAGCCATACCAACTGAAGGATGGAGTTGCCATTAACTGAAATGAGGAAGAGTAAAGGAGAAGCAGGTTTCCCAGGGGGAGGCCAGAAAGCTGTCTTTTGGATATGTTAAGTTCAAGATTCTACACCTAAGTGCCTGCTGTTAAGTAGACTCTGGGACTTGAGAGTCTGGAGTTCAGGAAAGAAGTCTTAGCAGGATATATGAGTTCCAGAATGGTCAGCATTTAGATAGCATTTAAAACCATGGGCAGGAATGAGATCGCAGAGAACATGAGTATAAATGGTATTGTTTTCAATGTGCAGCCGGTCGGCAAGGTTGCCTGTTTCTCTCCAGCTACATTCAGCTATGGGCTAATAGGTTCAGCATAAGCAGAGTTGGTTAACCGGCCAGTGATGTTGTCCTGCAGCAAGTATAGTAAAGCAAGAGAGAGCAGGAAACTAGAAGATACGATGGCAGCCCAAGGGCAGGGAAACGGCGGGATCACTGGTCCAAGAGATAATCAGACAGCCCTCCTGCACCCTTCTCTGAGAACAGCCTTTGGCCCATCTTCTGTTCTTCATGTTGATCATCATGAAGGATATTCCATATGCATTTGTCAGTTTTCAGGACGTTGAGAATCATTACCACAGTCTCTTTCCACATTTGTTTGTCAAGACAGCCTTAACTTGCAAGCCATTGTCCTTGTATCATATGCCTCCTGTAGCAGGCAAGAGCATTTCTTTTTTAACTTCCTGCCAGACTGAAAAAGATATGACTGGCATCTTTCTAATAAAACAGATAAAATATTAATTTTTATCTAATAAAATAGATTTAAAAATAAAATTTAGATTTTTTTTTTAGTAGTATTATTACTTTAACATTTTTACATCTTCTCTCTAGAGAAATTAATTGTATCAATTAATTTGCTCTGTGTTTGGCCATAGGACACTCCTGCAAACTTCTCAGGAAGAACATGGGAATGATTGTTATAAATGAGGGCTCTCTTGATGTAAGTAAAATCATTTTTTTTAATCCTTTAACAACTTAATCATCTTGTAGTATTCTATTTTATAGTTGTGAAAATACTTTATCTTTGTGAGATTAAAAGATGCCTTACTACTACTGTTCTGCTGTAACGTAGAGTACACTGTTTTAAACAACATGGATGTACGTAGATTCTGGCTTTCTGCCTGTGACAGCTAAAAGAAATTGCTCAGTGTTGTGAGACAAAAAGCTGCATTATGTCAGGAGGTAACTGAGTGACTGCAACTTGTTCATATCTATCAGGATATACTGTATATTAAGCATTTAATATTCTGTTTTATCTTTCAGTGATAATATATATTTTGCTTCTTTAAAAAAAAAACTGTGAAAGCTATTGAACAACACAAAATAACTATTCCTAATAAGAAAGTTTTATTTTTAATGTTCTGATATAAATTCCTAGGATATCTTTTTTTCATGGCTACAATCACATGAATTTATATTTGGGAAAGGGGGAAACATTTGTTCAGTGTACAGTGTAAAGTAGGAATTAACAAAAAAAAATATGTAGGTCAAGCGACTCGTAAATATTTTAAAGTAAAGGTGAGTATTTGTAATTTAAGGTGGAAGACAGAACAGGAGAGGTGATTTACCTGAAATAGTCATTGTGACGCAAAGAGCAAAGCAGAGAAAATCTCATATTTAAGGATGTTGGTAAAGTCAGGAGGCCAAATATGTGAAAGGGAGCGTGCAGAGTTAAGTGTTTAGAAGTCAGGCGGAGAACAGAAATTATGAGTAAGAAGTATTTGACTTATGCTTTTTAACTTGGAATGATGATCTTTTCATTATTTGTCCTCAAAACAAGCCTTGTGATGCCTTTCCCTTTCTTGTGACATCTTTGAGCAAACTGTAGCCTAGGAATAATACATGATTTTGAAACCATGAAAGTTGCTTACACCTTTAATTGTTGGAGAAATACTTTTTTGCGAACCAAGCTTTAATCCTAAAAACACAAACCAAAAAAGCCAGCCTGCAGTTGGAAGACTTTCCATTTTATTTATTTGTCCCGTAGGCCTTGTGTTAGGCACTGGGAACACACCACTAAATAAAATATTGTGGACTCTGCCTCCTTAGAGCTTACCGTTGTCTCTGTTCTTCACCTCCATATACATTAATTTTGGTTTATTATATCCAAGTTACACGTTGTGAAAAATTATGACTAAGGCAGCCCTGCCTTCCAAATGCTTACAAATAATAAGGGCAGTAAAATGCATATGAGTAACAGTACTAAACAGATACGTAAACAAGGTGTAGATATTTACTGTGAAGATATTATGTACTTTAAGGGAGGAAGTATACAGGGCCATTAGGTTAGATAGAGAGGAGTAATCGAGTAAGAGGTGGGTACCTGAAGCAGGAAGTTACTGCCAGTAAGTTCAGGGCATATTTGGGGCATGAAAGAGGGACATCAAACTTGAACACAGGACTATAATTTTTTAAAGTATTTTTTCACTTAATGTAAAATTCAAGTTACAAAAATTGAAACGTACAAATGGTAAAAAGTGTATCTCTCAGCCTTATAACCAAGCCGCCCAGTTTACCTCCCTAGGAACAGCCACTAGTTCTAGTTTTTTTTAACGTTCCTCCAGGGATATTCTGCCATCTCTAAAAGCTGTATGCATATGTCTATGCACATGTCCTTTGTTGTTAAACACAGATGACAGCATACTGCCCACACTGCTTTATACTTTAGTTTTCTCACTTAATATATCTTAGCAATTGTTCTGTAATTACATATATGAAGCTACCTAATTCTTTTTTAATGGCGGCATAGTATTTATAAGGTATCTAAAGAAATGACATAGGCAGTTAAAATTACAAAGGTAGTCTCAGGTCAAGTGTGGAAAGCTGTGCCAGGTTTAAGAATTTGCCTTCAGAGGCGAGAGGAGCAACTTCATCAGCCTCTTAAAAGTGGTAAGATGTGTATGAGCAAGTTTGAAAGAGTGGGAGGGCATGAGGTGCAGGCAAGAGATCAGGATAAGAGCGTAATAAGAGGAAATGAGGGCACCAGTGCCCAAGATGTGGTGTGAGAGAAGTTCAGAGAGACCGAACCCACGTGATGCCTGGTGAAGGAGACATCAAGGGTGGCTCCAGAACTGAGTTGCAGTTGTTCACATTGCAAAAACCTCGGCAGAAGCATTTCTATAGTCCTTGCAGATGTTTAGGCCTTTGTCAGCAACATGGGTTATACGTGGTACATGATTTTTATGACCCTGAAAGGAAACAGAGGTAGGACCTGTGACACTGAAGCAAAAGCATGACAAGCCATGCTTGATTTCACATGTGATTCCTTCTATCTGGATAGACTTTCAAGTTATGCAGTTTCTCCAACTCTTCGATAAATATGTTCTTTTAAGTGTTTTAAATATCAAGTAATATACATAGTAATTTCAAGGGGAAAAAAGGGAAATGCCAAAAATATTCAGTGTATTATATCATGTATTATTAAGACAGTGGTATTTATTTTCATTTTGAAATTTCCAGGATAGTAACTCAAAAGTCATAAACACCCTCCAAGGTATTTGCACTCCCTATTTCTACTGGTGCAAACACAGGGTAGGACTCTCAAGGGAATACTCAATTTCAGTGTAAGATGGGACCATGTCTGTCTATTTTGGTTCACCATTTTCTCTCTCAGTGCTCAGCAAATTGCTTAGCACATAGTAAGTACTCCATAAATACTTGAGAAGTAAGTCACTGAGTGTTTTTAAATTAAGGGCTTCCTTTAAAAAAAAAAAAAGTTCTATGTCAGTTTTAAATTTGGTAGTAATCAATCATGTCTGAAATTTTAAAAATAAAATGGCTAGAAATGTGCTTAGCAATTCAAGTGACAGTTTGGTATGGAAGATCACAGGCAAACGCTATGGCTGAATGGATTAACACTAACTTGTTCAGCTCCAGACTACCAAGCATTCTTGCATTGCGGATGAGTTAAGTGGTTACTTTACAAATCTGGCTTTTTAGGATCAGACCTGCTATGTAGTACTCTTGCTTCTCAGCATGAAAAGAATCATCATTTTGCATAGCTCCTTCAGATTTCATGTCATAAAATCCACTGCTGAGATTTTAGGCAAATCATTAGATGTGCTAGAATGCCTGTAGGTAAATCATTATTTATTTTTTCATTGCCATGGAAAAGAAAAGCATCTTACGGGTTCAGATTATACTGATAGTAATAAAATATGAGTTTACCATTCAGTCAGTACAAAGAATAATTAACATTTAGATAATAAACTTACAAACGTAATGTCTTAGGAAATATATTGATGTGTGTTTTGTCATGTGATGATTTTAAAGAATGTACTTAAATTATTTCTTGAAATATCACAGTAGTTAAGAGCACTGTTCTGCCCTAACCTCATTGTGGGATGTTGGGCAAACTGGAAATTAGATAACTTCTTTAAGCCAGTTTCGCTGCCTATAAAATGAGGAAAATATACTCTTGGCACAAGATTGGTATGGTTAGCACAGGGTATGGAACTTATAAAGATGTTATAAAATTTTGTAGAAAAATAGTATTTCAGTCACTTGCAAGTTATTTTGTATAATGATAATTTTATTACATTTTTATTATTGTATATTGATCATTTATTACATATTATTTTCCCATATTTTATTTTTCCTAAAATAGCAAGTTATAAATGTAAATCCTTTTTTGCCTAAGTGATGTATATTGCTATAAAATTCAAATTTTCTACCAAAACATTGTTATTAATACTGTTAAAGCTGAATATGTTTTTATGTTGAAATTATATAAAGTATCATATTTGAGGCTCTTAAATTTCCAAGTAGAAAAACCTTTCTCCTGGTGATCACTGTAGTAAAAATCTTTGTCCTCCCATAATCCAGCTCATCTAAAAAAATTACCATTTGGTTTTCTAGTTTTCTCATTTTGAGTTTTAACATGATTATTCTTCTTGAAAAATTAATGGCTATTTGGCATTTTTTAAACCTTTAAGTAATCATAAAACCAAACTACAGTTGAAAATGCAAACAAGCAGAATGAAAGTCTTGCTCTACAGAGCTAATACGGAAATCTAACTGGCTTTCCTGCCTCTGCCCACCCAGCCCCATTCCCAGCCAGAGCAGCACCCCTGCTACCTACCTAGCTATTGTCCAGTGTTGCCAGAGTCAGTAAAAAGAGTTTCTTTGAAAGCTTAATCATATTTTGTTTAATTTAGAAAATAAGAATTTCATGCATAAACATCATTAAGAGTCCTCTACTTGATGAAAATCTGTCAGACACTTATAATAAATAGATAATTTAGGTAATTTGTATAATTTGTAATCATGCTACTTTGAACCACTTTATTGGAGGTTCTGATTCTGTTCTTGATATAAGTTATTTCCTTAAGGGTCTAAAAGAGCAGAAATGTCAAATTAGTGGCTTGAATTATACATCGTACTTCTCTAACTCCACCCGGGAAGTATCCCACAGACTTCTCAGAAACCCCTTTCACTTAATGATCAAGATCCAGGGGATTCTTCTAGCACCTCTTTTATATCTTAAGTTTATCATAAAGTAATTTGATCAAACAAATTTGTTTGAAGTCTGTTAAAACTAGAGACATCTAAAAATGTGAACTAGTAACTAGGGAATCTCATATATGATGTTTTTACCTCCCAATGTCTATTTAATGTTCTAAAACAATTCTGGAAGGATTGAGTTTATGTTACATTAAGGATTGTAATTGTTGTGTTATTCAAATCCCCCATAGCATACCAACTCTGTGAATCTCTGGAAATACTTTTAGGTGACTCAAAATATTATTTTTAATCGATGTGGTCTTTTTTCTAAAAGGTAGAAAAATTTTGAAAACTTGTTTCATTGAGATAGCTCAGGATTTTACTACCCTCATCTGTCAAGTCTCGAGAGAGTGGGAGGGACCATAATTTCTTAAGCTACTAACTCTGTAGGTGCCAAAACAATCTTTCTTGAGTCTTACATGATGTACCCTTACTCTT